TGCTATAAATACTTAAATTCCTCTCTTGTCCTCTCAGGAAACTATTTTGTGACCAGTGCTATATTATCTGTAAATGTTCTAAAAAGAGATGTAACCATGACATAGTCAAGCTGTGCAGATGATAGCAAATTATTCAAATTGGTAAACACTGAGGATCCTATGATAAATACTAAGAGTTCAGATTAGATAAATAGGTGGTGAAATAACAAATAGATTTTAGCATAAGCAGGAATACATAAAGTGATGGACATTAAGTCAAAAATCCCAACTTCTTAGGAATACAGACAGAAATGTGAACTGGAGGTGACACTTGAGAAAGATAAGAATGAAATCTAAATAGCTCAAGAAGAAAAACACTGTGTAGTGGTGGACAAAAAAAAAGTTAGAATTCATGATAGTATTTTGTATATAAGGCAATGTTGTGACCATTTTGGCTGTGCCATTTCAAAAACTATTGTATATTTGTGGAGAAGAAAAAAAACTGTTAAAATAATCAAAAACTGCTGTAGCAACTTCTCTGTTAAAAGACTAATATCTTAATTTAGTTCAGTTTAGGAAAATTTAAAAAAAAACACCAGTAAAGGTCTGTGGGGGACAGAATCACAATTGAAATTTATATAATAGGAATCATTTAGGATAAGTAAAAACATTTTTATCCCTTTTCATAACATGCAGAGTCATCAATGAAACAAAATAAAGCAATAATTCACAAAAACTCATATTAAACTCATAGTACTTAGCCCAAGATCAGTAATAACATAAATAGGTTTGCAAGTGTGTCATACAAATTCATGGAGGGCTGAATTCTCCCTTTCTAAGTATTAGGTTTTAGGATAAATGGAAAACTAATCATTGGGCAAATGATGGATGAAAGTTGTCACCTATGTGCTTTTCCAGAATCTTGTAATCTGAACATTGCTGAAAACATGATGTAGAACTCAATTAGAGGTGAGCAAATTCTGTTCTACAAGACCTGCATTTTCTCAAAGACAATCTGCTGGGAGCCAGATGGCACTGGTGGGTGGGTCTGAAGCAAGGGTTAGTCAAAAATGAGCAGCACAATGCATGTTCTCTCTTATTTATACCTTTTTCTTTTTTTCTTCCAAACTGCCAAGTTCCTAACCTCAACAAACTCGTGATACATCAGGCCTTTTTAAAATAATAGTGCACCTACCTTTTACCCATTCGAGCAACTTTTGCTAATTATACTATATAGAGGGAGGACAAAAAACTTATTCAAAAAAGTGAGTTTTTACCTGTTACAGATCAATAATAAATACATCTGATACATCTATATACTACCAAAACATTTGTGCCTGTTTAATTGTTTGTAACCTTCAATTGGGTGAAACAGTGCATCATAGGGCAACAATTTTTCAACTAAGGTACCTCAAATGGGCTAACTTACAGAATGTGTCCAAAATATGGGACCCGTTACTGCAGTAGGATTGAAATTTGGGAAAGTTCCTGCTGCTTCAGCACTGCCGTCACGCTGATGTGATCAGCCAGTCATGTAAGCCTCCCTTCCAATGCTCCCTGACACCTTCCCACAAGTCAATGGGGAAGCTGGCAGGAAATCTCAACTTGATTGTGGGAGGGTGCATGGGTGGGGGAGACTTACCAGAAAAGGAGGGTGTGAGGGGAAGGGAAAGGGGAAGGAAGGAAGGAAGGAAGGAAGGAAGGAAG